TGGAAGATATGAAATACACCCATTTTTGTAGTTGGGACCAGCGCTTGAGATAACTGACCTGACTTACTATTTCTCTCACAGTACTGGTATCTTAGCAGTTCATTTTCCAGATGTATGAATGCTTGAATTTCTGCAAATACAAGATGAATAATATTTAACAATGAGGAAGCTGGACCAGTAGCTACTTTGTTACACTGTTTCATCTGCCTCTAAACGAACTACAGTGCCAACCCGTACGGTTAAGGCAGGCTGTGTCATCAACATCTGGATATAATGGTCCTAGGCAGTTTTTGAGACACCTCACTCTGTATCGGGGGTTTGTTTTTTTTTTTTTTGAAACATTTTCAAAGGCAAAACTAAGTCTATTCCTCTGTAAGAGAGGAATTTATTACATGTAAAGTTCTACCTTTTCTTGTTGTAAAGGAAGAAAACTTACATCCTCTCTGAAAAGATTTGTATGTCTCAAGCGACTACCCAGACTGACTTGAAGAACACTTCGGTAAACCACTGACATTTTTAAAGATCAATGCGTATACTGACATCTCCAAAGTAATAGAGGGCAAAAAAATCTTCACTCACCTCTGTCAGACATCAGATACTCTATGCTTTTGTTTGCTGGTATGTTAGCTGGGAAATAACGTTTTTGCTCTTGCGGTACCAAAAAGACCTGAAAAGTTTTTTGATTCCTCCAGGTCAGGCTACCAACTCTCTGATTGTTTTAAACAAAACACAGACTACTGTAACAGTACCGCTGGCTGCCAGATCACGTTGCATGTCTGCAGCTGGAACAACACACCGTTTTGTAAGTTGTGAAACACAATTGCATCTGAACACGAAAAACATTTTTAAGTTGAGAAATGCAAATTTACCAACGCACGGGTGAAAAATTCGTTAGAAAGTCAAGAAACAGAAATGCATAAAATCTGTAATAGGCAACAGTATACAAAGTTTCAAATATAAAATCGTGACTTGTATAGTTTGTCACTTGCATCTTTTCACAAGAGGAAATTAAAAGAACCACACATCACTGAACTTCTACACAAGCTTCTTGTGTTTCAATGTCATTTATTGAGGAGTGAATGAGATACTGCCAGACATGCCAAAGAGACTTCACATTCAAGGGCTGGAAGCTGAACAGCTTTCCTCATTGAGTCACTGTACAAGTTGGTTTTGGGAATCAGAAAGTGCAATCAATGAGGTCTTCATGCTCGATGTTTGTCTTCAGTTTTTCATCTTTTGATCTACTAACTTGTTGGGCAGAAGGACACTTTCTACCCTACAAAGACTCACACTCCAATTAATACAATTAACACTAGATGTAGAGAAACGTTTATCTGTTATAACGTACATCTACTGCTGAATACAAGGTCTTAAAGCTGTTTCTTAATTCATTATGTCTAATGAGAAAATTCAACTTGTTTCCCTTTCACCATCATATGGATGGCTTATACCGTTAGAAAAATACTCTTCAGTGCTATTGTAGGGTTTACAGGAAACTTCCGTGTTGTGGGATAGAAACCGATTTAAACACCATTCTGAAAGAATGCTTCTTCCTGCTGCCGCTGCCTGTAGGTTGCAGAAGAATGGCCTACACGCACTACAGTTCTGGTTTTACTCAAAAAAGAAACAAAAGAAACCTAAACAATAGGGTAAACGTTTATTTGGAGTTAGTTTTCTTGCAGATGATAATTAAGGCCCTTCAAGCAGAGTTCAGGAGCTCCTGTATGGCTGCCTGTTGATCTGCATTGAGCTGTGATATGCATTCTGTCCACAGTCCTCCAGATGTCTGGAAAACAAACGAGAAGTTGTCTTTACACAGGCTGACAAGCTTCTGAAAGGCACACGCTAAACTTTCATACATTTACAAAGCTGAACATTCACTGGGCTTACTCCTCTAATATATAGGCCAGAGAGAACAGAATGGAGTCTTCCATTATACGCAGTCCTACATAGGCTCAACTAGAGGGATGCTCTGAAATGCTAAACAGAGGCAAGCTCTGCTTAAATAGCAGCAGCGTAATTGATTTGAAACTCCTGGGAACTCCCTGTAACTATGTGGGTCAAACGACAAATGACACAATCTTTTAAGTTAACCACAGCCTAACCCTGTGCTCCAGTTCACGCTGAAGTCAAAAGATCAATGGTCAGGCAACTCCAAGCCCTACTTAAACGCCAGAGTAGCTTTTGGGCACTGGTGCACCAGTAACGCATTCAGAGGAAGGGAGCACTGCGATTACAGTGTGACATGCTACATAAGCGATGCACATATGTGCAAAATTCTGCTGCCAACACACGGGGCGTGACTCTTCAGTGAAAGGAATTACTTCCTAGAGGGAGGAGAAGAGAGCGTACATAGCACCTGTCTGGGTAAATATAAACCCATGCTTTTCTGCCTCTCAGTATACCTCACTTGTGGTACCACAGCCCTTGGCTGAAATGTGAGAGCTTTTAAAGTCACCATCAGTAAGGACTGGTTCTAATTGTACTAGAAAATGCTTAAAATTAAAAAAAGGTTGGGAGTATTTATTCACTTATCAATAGAAGCTGGAAGCAACCGGCACTCTGCTTTCTTTAGAAGGACAATGATAGGAAAAAATATTGCAGGTGACTGGTGCGGGTCCTTAGATTGGCTTTTGCAATAGCAGTCTACTTGGAGTAAATTAAGAAGAATTGTTTTCATTTATATTTGGTATGTTTTATGCTCAGCTCTGTTATAATGCCCTTTTCTCACACTCTTAAAAAAATCAAAAATGGATTCACAGGATTCAAAAGAATTTGAAAACAAAGTCCTCATGTTGAATTTGGGTTTGTGTTTTTAGTACTAAATACCATTAGGCATTTTAGACTCTCAATGTATAATGGAATACTGCAAAACTAAATGTGCTTTTCCAGCATTTGACACACATTTAAATTGGTACACTACACTGAAGTATTTCTGGTCTGAGAATACCTAGGCACAAGGAAAAAGGTTTATGTTTAATTCCAACTATGACCATAATGTTACTCATGTCAGATGCTGGCAGTGGAACAAACAGCTTACTGAGATCATTAAAAAAAGAAGTCTCCTGGAATCTGGGAAGTGGCAGCAGCAGGCAGACTGTTAGCAACTGCACAACCTCCCACCATGGTATAACACATTTACAGTGCCCTACTAAGGTCTAAGTATTATGTGTGAAGAGAGATAGGATTGGTAACAGTAAGCTAAAATTATATTTTTTAAAAAACATGACCTTTAAGATTTCCCCCCCCCCCAAGTCTGAAAGTAAATCATTTAACAAATGCAGAAATCTTGTTTCCATCTTAATGTTCCTATCACTCATGGCCAAAACAAGACTTTGCTATACACAACTAATCTATACGTGTATGTGCCACTGTATTGTTAAAAAAAAAAAACAAAACAAAACCAAAACCAAACCACCCCCAAAAAACCTAACCATAAGCTTTTAAGTTTAACCAAACAAATGCATTAGCAAACCCTCATATGAAATTCCATCCCCAGACCTGAAGTACTAACAGCAAGGACTCATATCTGTCAGCCAGAATCTAGAGCAGCCACTTACACCGCTATCGCTTTGGAACTTTGCTTGTTTTCATTCTTTTTATGCGTTCAGAGTTTTAAGAAGTCAGTTTCTACCAGACGTATTGGATCTTGAGACCAATACTCTCATCCAAGTGAATCCTTTCCAAAATCAAGTATTCCTAAAATTCTTGAATCTGAGCTTTGCCAAAGCATGGCAGGTAGAATGGACAATAATTGAAAAGCTGCTGCTCCAAATCCTCTGCCCATTTCTATAAGCTATACACTTGACCTATGAGCACTATCACTTATAACACTGTAGAGATGCAGCTTAAATACGTGGCCATCCCCATCACCCAGCGCATAAGTGCTCGTTATGGCATAAAGGAAGCGAACCTTGAGGCAGTTCCCCAAAGGCAGGGAAAACATTGAACGGCTGCCTACATTTGCACTGGATTAAAGAGGGCAGTAGTAAAATTACTTGTGGTTTGCACTCATTCTCTAGCAAAGATCCTGAGCCTCTGCTATATTAGTAAGCCACCACAGGCTGCTGGGGACCTTTACAGGAACCACACATTGGATCAAACCCTACAGTACAGTTCACAGAGAAAGACAGGCAGATTTCTCTCCAGATTTTCATTTCTGGCTCAGAGAAAAAACAACCAACCAACCAACCCACAAACAACTAATACTAGCTGGCATGTTAACCATCCAACTGCAATATATTAAAGCTTTTTTTTAAAATTAATAAGCTTCTGAAGTATATCAAAAAAGAGACAGACTTTATTCAAGTGCAAATGCTACAAAGTTTTATCATTAATGGTTCAAGCAATATCCAAGGATCTGCAAGATCGCTGGCTGAAGCACTGTTCTCTAAGGAGACAAGGCTCTCAAAATTGGTTTAACAGTTTGGTTACTTCTCATAAATATTCTCTTTATACCCAAGCAAGCAAGCAAGCATTTATTTACCTGCACTTGGCGAACAACATTAGCCAACCGCTTGGTACATGGATCTTCATGTTTAATAGCTTCATGAATTTCACCATCCGCAATTATACCAAATATTCTGGGAAGGTTAGAGTTGTTGGGACCGAGGACAACTGGGTTGTTGCTGTTACAATCAAAATACATATTACAAATAAATTAATGTTTAACCAAAAAAAAAAAATTGTCAGCATTTTACATGTCAGTTGAATGATTTTCAAAGATCTTATTCTAAACTTGCTTATTTACATCTAAGTTTCACTCAGCTGAATAAGTATGCATGGCTTTGTTGCCTGCTGACAGAATGTTCCCTCGCCTGTTAATATTTAACCAGCTGATTCTTTAACCAGCCTACACTTTATCAGGAAGAAGTTCTGAACCTCACAGAACTGCTGAGTTCCATGCAGATGGAACTGTAAATAGCGTGACAGAAATGCCCTGCCTCAAAGGGCTTATTCCTCTCTTGCTCTCAGTGCTGCAAGGGGGAGGAGGTTGTGTTACTGGTGTCAGGGAGCACCAGTGGCTTCAGCTCCCCGCCAGCACTCTCACTGACACAGCAAGCAAGCAAGTTCTGCTCCCTCTTTCCCAGCCACGTGCTAGAGTACAAGAGCACTGGCAAGCAGGGATCTGGGTGGAAAACATGATCTACTTCCAGCCCAGCCACCTACCAGCGCTGGAATGCAGAGGTTGTGAATGCAGGACTGACGGAGCGCCAGAGAAGTACACAGCAAGGCTGAGCCACCTGCACAGAACTGGGCACAAAAGTGTGCTAGTACGGTAATTCCCGATTTCTATGTGCGTGTTATGGCAGAATTATTATGGCGTCTCTACACAACTGTACTAGTATCACCATAGAGACCTCAGTTGCCTCGGCCCATTTTGAGACCTTGTCTTGGTAAAGCACCAAGAGATACAAGTTATTCACACAGCAGAGAAGAGCACAGGAAAGCGAAGTTATTTCCTTTCTACTTTTCTAGTAAGATACAATACAGCGTCAGCCAGAGCATGGCTACCATATAATGATTCAGAAGCTGGCATTCCTCCACTCAATTATGAAGTGCAACTTGCACCCACACAAGAATATTTTTTTTTTCTTCTACTGACCTACAGGAGGGAGCACAAATCTAAAGAACAAGCTGTGGGACAAGATGTTTTCAACAGTAACTGAAATTATTTTTACAAATGTATTAAGGGAGATAGTACTGTACCATGAACTTGTCTGTATTATTTCTCTACTTCATACTTTGTTATTAATGCTGGTATGTAAAGCAGAGTACCAAAAATTTCCCTGAAATTTTCTGTGGAAGTTCCCAGCTGATCCTTTCCCATCATGTACGTATAAAGCAGCCAGGAATTTTTTCAAGCCATACAGACATTAGCTAGCATGAGAACACCAACTGTTTTAAAAAACAGCAATAACATCACGGAAGGCTCAGCTCTGATATTTCAGATTATCTTCTCTAAAGCATATGCAGATTAACCTGACAGTTTCCCAGTTTTGGAAAATGAATGCAAGGAAAGAACCAACAAACAGGCTTACTTTCTGCATTTATGTCAAGACTTTGCCTTACCTCTCAATTAAGTCACACAGATAATTGAAAGTATGAACCGCTTCTTCTTTATCTTCATGAAGTGGAAGCCATGATAACCAGTGTGGCAGGACTTCTTCAACATTTACACAGTCAGGCTTGAACTTCATTATCTTTCCTACAGCTGAAATGCAGTTCTCTGTGGCATTGACATTCTCTTTGGTTTTGGCATCTGGTGACTGAATGACTCTCACCAGCAATGGAAGCGCCTCTAATTGTCAAACACAAGAATAAACTTTAATGCACAATCAAGTTGTATTTTACCAACATCACCAATTCTACATGAGACTACTGCACGTATTAAAAATGGGAGGTTTTTTGTGACCCAAGCACCAACATCCAGTCATCCCAATGTCCCACTACTTCTAGGTTCTTCCCTGCTCAATAATCATCATACAGAAAACAAACAGATAGATAAAGCTGTGCAAGGGAACACAAGAAAACAGCTACTGCGGAAGTTTGGATTTGCTTTATAAGTTCAGAAGAAAAAAAGAAAATCCTCCAGTGTCTCTCAGTCGGAGTTATACAATCTACAGTATACAAGACATTATAATTTATAGTAAAAATACAGATAACAAGCATTATCTTTTTAATGTAACAGGTTCTATAAACACGGGATGATGAAAAGCACCGATAACAGCGACATTCACATTAATTTGGGCTGTAGTGCACGTCTACAGCGTATGCCTACTGTACATGTATTGCTAGAGCGCACATATATATAAATACATATGTATGTATGTACACATACATACCTCGCACCACTAAAAGGTGCGCTAGGAAAAGCTCATAGGAGCAATCTCATCTGCTGAATCCACCTGACATGGTTTAGATGGTAAAAATGAAGCATCAAGGAGAAATGCCAATTTTCTTGCTACATTAATAGCAATTTTTTTTTCTAAAGTCATGTGGGTAACCACATGCACACTTCCAAATGAACATTAATGTCATGCTTTCAGTCACTAGTGTCCCTGCAGACTTCAGAGCACTCTATGTGCACACAGGAACAACTGCCTTTGTGTTCTTCTAAAAATACAATGCTAAAGCTGTAAAATCCTTTATCAGCACAGAAAACAGGCTGTGGAATTGTGCAGAAAGCACACTTCAAAATAACTCCAATTACTGAAGAGCGAGATCTCACACTACTTCATTTTGATGAGTAAGTAGCAGCTTTGCGGTTAAGGAATACGCAATGACACTTGGTATATTAACCTCACTGAATTAGATTTTTGAAGAACTTAGCAGCTATGGAAAACTATTAACAACCCTAAGCTAGACTAGGATACTTTTATAGGGCCGATAAACACTACAGAACTGTAGAAACATCCGTCATCAGACCCACCAGCTGGTGTACTGACTGCAGGATAACGGTGCTGGACTTTTCTGCAAAGCAGAGTTCGTTACATACAAGTCTAAAATGTCCAAGCAAACTGAGCCTGCATTTTGTACCTCAGGTTTTCATGACTGCTGAAGCTAAATATCTCAACTGTGTTTCCTCATACTCCTTAATAATAATGGATGACACTGTTAGGTACGTGTGCCCTTGCAGTCATAAGGTTAGGCGGGCATCAAAATCAATCAGCGTAGTCTTCTCCCTATAGCTTAGTAAGACAAGTTTTCTTGTCTAGAAAACAGATCTACTCTCACATAGATGTTGTGGTAACTGATCCCTAAAAACCCCCTTTGACTGTAAAAGACCATCATCTATAATAATGATAGTTTTTTTCCAAGGACCGACTGCTCTGACATCTTGCACCACCAGAAGTTTCAAGGCTGCTGATACAACTTTGGAAGAAACACATGCAGTTGATTAATACAATATTCACAGAGAATAGCTCATTATATTCTTCCTCCAACGTAAGAAATAGAAGCAACATTGACAGTCACATAAATTGTGACCTTGTAACCTTATTTAGAAAGTTACTTCATTTGCTGTAGTTCTTCCTTCAGCCTTATTACTTTTTTCTTTACTAATTCTAATTCTTTTTGTTTCATCATAACGTAGCTCGTGCCATTTACAAGTTCTCCCAATATTCCTGTATTTTTCCAACTGACTGCCAAAAATGCTCACGTTAATACATCTGCTTTTCCTGAACAGTCTCAAGTCTTTACATGCTGCTACAAACTTGCAGTAGAACAATATGCCAGTGCTATAAATTAATCAGTAAAGAAATTAAATTAAGTAAAAGCTCAGAAACATGATGTTTTCAGAGAAGACAGTAAAACCTATGGGGTAGAAAGCTTCTCATGCCATGGATTTACTTTGTTTCTAATCACAGCACATCTTCCTCTATTAAAATAAATCACAAAGTTCTTTCAATGTTTATACAAAAGCATTTAATATCCTTTTGAGGTGCCTGCTAATAAGCTGTATGCAGTAAGGTAAAAAGGTTATTTTATCTAAACATCCAACTAAAGGAGAAGCCAAGTGTCTGAGTTTAATCAAGGATTATTTATCTAAATACAAAGAAACGGATCAAAGTTGTTAAAAATTTTAAGCGGGCCACAGTAAAGTCTAATGAATGAAAAATAAAATTAGACTTCAACTGATGCTGAAAGCCCCAAAAACTCCAAAATCACAACTATCTTGATCTTGGTCTCTAGTCCTCCTCTAACCTTAGGACCGGACATAAAAACCTTATGGAAAAGTTCACAAAAAATCCCGTTTAGGAAGTATTTTTCTAGACAATTTTCAATTTTAATGCTCTTAATGTTTCACTGCAAGGTTTCCCCTCTGCTTTTTTTCTTTTTTTTAAGACACCTCATCTTGATTGTCACCATGTGACAGTTACATTTAAGATTCGTTTGAAATATATATTTGAAAGAGCTAAGTATTTTCTTATAAAAGGTGTGCAAAGTTAACTTTGTTGACTGGCAAGAAGAGTGCCAGCAGACAATCATTTCTTTAAATTCAAGACAAATTTGCAGTTTTAGAGAAACCTGAGACATTCAGAAAGCAAGCAAACAAAGTGTTCTTGATGGGCATTATCATACTCATTTAATTTCTTAGTCACAGGAAACAGGCTCCTTCTTTTTATGTCGCAGGAAAGCAGAGTGCCACATTAGTTGTATTCTGGGCTACTCCTTAATACAGTTCACTTGTATAATTTTTCCAGACATGCAAGATTTTTATATCAATGTATAACCACATTACTATTAATAAAAAGCAACTATGAGACAGGTGTGGACCAGAAAACTATTTTTTATGAAATTAACATTTGCATGTCAGGCCATTTTTAAAAAAAATACGTAAATCAAGTTTGGTCTAAGTTCAGCAACAGAAACGCTACTAAGCAGAACATCATAGAAAGCTCAAGGAATTCAGGTACTTTACTAATGATCACCAGTCTGCCACACAGGTCATACTGGCAATCTGTTTCACTGCCAAAAGGAAGAGACCTCATCAATCAAAAGGCAAACAATTTTGAAGTTTCACACACATCCCCTCCCCCCCGCCCCAAATCATACATTCCAATAGTTTTATCAGACGCATGTACATACCTGTGCAAAAGGGACGATAGCTGTCCCCACCAAATTGTGCCATAACTCCAACACCATAGGCAGCTGCTTGCCTAACCTCTGGGCTGTTGTCACATATTGACTGCAGCATTGGCCTCAGGAAGTATTCAGCGTACTTGAACGAGGAGGGGCTGCAGTGCTCTACAATGTCATCAAAAATGCATAGGCCCCACTGCCTGTCTGGCCACGGCCTGTGTGGACACTGCGTCAAAAACAGGTAACATTTAAGCCACCTTAAAATGGGTAATTTTTGTACCGTCAATGACTGTATCAACAGAACAATCATAGTAACAGTGGTCCAGTATTTTCATTAAAATCCTTGCAGATTAAATTCAATCCTACAAACACATAATTTTATGTACTGATACTTGCAGCCATACTATAAAAACAAAATCAAGGTGAATATCTGAGCTAATTAAAAGAATAATGATTTTAGCCTAAGTCCCTTACTTCTGTTTCAACACTGTTACCTATTTCAGTCTCAGTTTTCCCCCCCTAGTTCGCAACACTTTTTTGGCCCTCTTCTTAAATCTATTTTAGAGAGTATCAGACACTCCCAGGCAAATTAAATTTCGCAAAATAGTTGTGTGTGTCAATGATCCTGGGTCTTGCAACACAGAAATTAGGAGTAGCACAGCAGTGCAGCTGTTCAAAAAGCATAGGGTAACAACTTCACACTTGATCTGGAATAAACCTTGGAACTGCCTCAATTTTGTAAAACAGTAATTGCTCCATTCCCTCTACCAAGTTCTCTAAGATTCCAGCATGGAAGGCCTATTACACATCAGTGGGGGGAAAAAAAAAAAAAAATCAAAGTCAAATTAAAAGAAAGCAAGGTACTTACAATTAGGTTGACAATTAGTGGAAGTAGCCTTTCAAACCATGGCAACACCTTCTCCTTATAACTGCTGAATATTGAGTGCAAAATGTCCGATACTTTAGTCAAAATATAAACGTCACTGTCATCCTGATAGGAAAAGGATACAACTCACGTTAAGACTAACAACCTTTAAAACAGTGGAAGTCACATGAAATGCTAAGGTCTCTAAACTAACGGAATAAAATTGTTTAATGATTTAGTTTTGTAAACCCAATCTTTTTAAGTCCACTATTTTTCAACTCTTGGTCTAATCACAGAATGACAGAATCATAGAATGGTTGGGTTGGAAGGGACCATGAAAGATCATTGAACCCAACCCCCCTGCCATAAGCAGGGACATCTTTCACTAGACCAAAGCCCCATCCAACCAGACCTTGAACACTTCCAATGATGGGACATCCACAACTTCTCTGGCCAGCCTGTTCCAGTGTCTTGCCACCCTCACTGTAAAAAAACAATTCCTCCATATGCTCAATCTAAATCTACTCTTTCAGTTTAAAACAGTTGCCCCTTGTCCTGTCACTACAGGCCCTGCTAAAAAGTCTGTCCCCATCTTTCCTATAGGCCCCCTTTGCGTACTGAAAGGCCACAATCAGGTCTCCCCGCAGCCTTCTCTTCTCCAGGCTGAACAAGCCCAACTCTCTCAGCCTCTCCTCATAGGAGAGGTGCTCCAGCCCTTGGATCATTTTTGTGGCCCTCCTCTGGCCCTGCTCCAACAGTTCCATGTCGTTCCTGTGCTGAGGGCTCCAGAGCTGGACACAGACTGTAGGTGGGGTCTCACCAGGGCAGAGTAGAGGGGCAGAATCACCTCCCTCAACCGGCTGGCCATGCTTCTTTTGATGCAGCCCAGGATATGGTTGGCTTTCTGGGCTGCGAGCATATGTTGCTGGCTCGTGTCCAATTTTTCCATCCAACAGTATTCCCAAGTCCTTCTTTGCAGGGCTGCCCTCAATCCCTTCATCCCCCAAATCTATATTGATATTGGGGATTGCCCTGACCCAGGTGCAGGACCTTGCACTTGGCCTTGTTGAACCTCATGAGGTTCACACGGGCCCACTCCCAAGCCTGTCTAGGTCCCTCTGGATGGCATTCCTTCCCTCCAGCACATCAACTGCTCTACTCAGTTTGGGTGTCATCTGCAAACTTGCTGAGGGTGCACTCCATCACGCTACCTAGACAGTTAATAAAGATATTGAACAGTACTGGTCCCAGTACAGACCCCTGAGGGACACCCCTTCTTACTGATTTCCATTTGGACATTGACCCACTGAATGCAACTCTTTGGACGTGGCCATCCAACCAATTCCTTATTCACCGAACAGTCCACCCATCAAATCCATCTCTCTCCAATTTAGCAACAAGGATGTTGTGTGGGACTGTGTCAAAGGCCTTACAGAAGACAAACGACATCAGTTGCTGTTCCTTAATCCACCAACACAGTCACTCCCTCATAGAAGCCACCAGATTAGTCAGGCATGATTTGCCCTTTGTGAAACCACGTCATCTGTCTCTAATCACCTCTCTGTCTTCTATGCACCTTGACATAGCTTCCAGGAAAATCTGTTCCATGATCTTATGGGGCACAGAGGTGAGACTGACTAGCTGGTAGTTCCCAGGGTCCTCCTTTTTACCCTTCTTAAAAATGTAAGTCGATTACTAGTACTCAATTGCCTAGGACTTGAAGGTTTGCTTCAGGGACAAAAAAAATTTATCAAGACAAACACTGTCTTGTGCAAATTTACTGCTTCAGTGAATTCCCTCTACAGAAGACAGAAGGCCCTTTTCCTCTTCTGTAACTTACAGATACTGTAACAAGCTTTTATTGAAAAGTAAATGGATAACTGCCTCTGGGACAGAAGAGTGTGGCAAAAATGTAAGGAATATTAGTCCTCTCTTCTTACAGTTTAGCTTCAAATTTTCACCTTGCCCAATTAATGCATCAAACTGGTGAAGTAGAGATCCTTAGCTCAGATTCACCCATCAATCCATGTTACATCCGCAAGCGAGGACTGTTCCCTGGACACACTGGTATCAGGAAAACTCTAACTTTGTTTTAAGGCAAGTTCTGTTGTACTCAGTACGGTTCCTTTAATCAGTTTATACTTTAACAGGCAGGGAAAACAGAATACAGCTAGTTTCTGGTCCCTAGTGAGAAACTGGTAAGTATTTCTCATGCAACAGGCAGCTTCCCACAACTGGATATTTAAACCCTCCCTGGTTAGAGAACTTCTGCATTGTCAAGGCATACTTCAAGCAGTAACTCTGGAACACACACACAAATGAAAACAGAGGTAGAGAACTGGTGCAGCACACCACAAGGTCCACCTGGCCCGGTATTGCCTGTTTACTAATAGCTGGTAACAGATATTCAGGGGAGAGCATAGCACTTGCTTAGCATATGCTTTCTCCTACCCTCTATCAAATTGGCAATTTAGTTATTGCCTAAGCTAGGGCTGTATCTGGATATCTTATTGAAACTACTGTTTGAATATCTTTTGTAACTTCTGTACTCCCTTATATTTCTGCTGCCTTGAGGTAAGGGCTACATAAATGTATTCTGGGACCAAAGGTGTATATCCAAATGTTACTCATTACCATATGTTAATTCTGTCCATATGGCAAGTGACATTCTGGTCCCACTCCTACTTTCACAGGGTAATGCGGACAAGTCTTCCTTGCGGTCTTTAAAAAAGAAATCAGCAAGGTCAAATATAAATTAAAAGCATTTTTAGAAGTGCCTTGCAACTCCATCATGGAGTATGGATTCAGCTTTTCTGAAACTGCTGCTTGCTAGCATTTTCTCTCATTATCAGTACAGAGTGACACCTAAGAAAAAAAGATAACAAACCACCTAACTCACTGTCCACAAGAATGAACAGTAAACACTGCAAATAAGACAGGGAGAAAAATCAGGAACGGCTCTTGGCTCAGAACTTGAGTTTTGTTATTTTTTGATCTCAAGCAGTCTGTAGGCACCAGAAACCTATCCTCTTAAATGCTGGCCTAATGTTCTAAAGGAAAGGGGCTCTAAAAAGGCATTGTTATTTTAAAAAGTATTTATATATGGGTGCATGATCTGTTAAGATATATTCTGGAGTCTGCATACAGGTTAAACTCATGTACAAGCTCCACAATTCCAACTCCACAAGCTTCACACCTGCACTGTGGGGCAAAAAAAATTTCCTAGTTTAATTAAAAAAGTTAATTCAGTTAAATTTACTGAGCATCCTTTATGTCTCATGTTATAAGCAGCAGTGACTTCCTATTCTTTATTACTCTCTCCATACCAGTAACAATTTAATAGAACTATGGTATCTCTTCTACAGTCCCCTCCACTTCAAACTAAGAAGCCAGTTCGGTATCTTAACAAGTAAGCAGTCACTTTGGTATTCTCTTATAAGTAAATATATTATACCAGCTATTCATCCTGCTGTCCTCCTCTGATACTATTTTAGGTCTATTCTTTTTGAGATAGGTTCCTGACCTGGCATGTCAGAGGTCTAGGTTATCAGAGGTATGTGCAAGATTAAGAGCCACCTAAATCATAAGGCACAAAGAAAAAACAAGTCAGCAGGGTTAGGCCTTTGATTATTACTGATACAGCATTTGACAGCAGACTATTTAAAGTAATCTAAGAATTGTTTGAGAGGATGAAGAAAATGAAGAGCTATATCCTGAACTTCTTCCTTCAGTATACTGGACAAGGAAACCTTTCGTATTTTCTAATTCACACATGTAGCATGACCCATTTCTTACTGGAAGTTCTGAAGGAATATGGTAACAGAACATTCTTCCAAGAAGAAGTAATTCTGAGGATACACTATGCTTTAACTGAGTAGCATAGCATATCCTTGCAATGTATTTCCATCCTGGTGCTTTATGAATGGAAAAACTCCCCAGACAAACTTACTTCATCTTGTAATGACTCTTCAACTTGCTCATCATAGTCTTCATCTTGTCTTTTCACTAAATTAAAAAACAAATATTAAATCATTACATTTCTACAAGCGCATAAGAAGCCTGTGAAAGGGAAAAAATTACGCATAAACAAATTTAAAAAATAGAAAACAGTAGCTGAAGATGCAACAGGAATTTTCTGTCTTTAAGAAGCTTCAAAGAGCTTTCACAGAAAACCAAGAAGTATGAGACAGCTCTGTGTAAGAATGTGTAAAAGCGCATCAAATAGAAATAAACACACCAGCTTGTCCACAAGGACAAGGAAAGTGCATAGAAATAAGAAACTACCATTGCTTTAAGAAAACTGCAAAGACTTCAGATGAAAAAAAAACCACAGAAGTGACACCACCATAGGCACGTGCACTGTCTTCAAGCAAATCTGTCCATCAACTTTTGATTGAACTACGGTATTTCTGCAAATGATGCCATCTTCATCCTCCCAGAGCTTACAAATAGAATTCATGGATTCTGTTGTTTCAAAGCTGAATTACCTTACATAAATATGCAAATTAAAGAGTTCTGAACTAGGCACTTTTTTTTGTATTTAGAAATCATTAGGAATTCTGCTTTAAAAAACAGCCACTATCACATGTTAATAGGAATTTGTGTTAACTTACCCTGTCTTAACTCTTGATTTTTAAAGTGCTCTTCTAGTTTTCCTTTCAATATTCCTCCAAGTTCTTCAAAGTGTTCGTTGTTAAGGCATCCATCTCCCATTACCTCAATGCACTAGTGAAATAAAATTATTGGGTTTTCAGCTCTAAGTCACACGAGCACAGAGAGAATATTAATACATGCTCTGCTTTAAGTGATCACTAGCAGAAGTAATACTAATGCAACATTCCTACTGTAATCAATGCTCAAATTATACAAGTAAGGCATAGTACCACTGTACATTTCATGCACTAACTTCAGTTTATGGTTAAAATGAACAAATCTGGTAAATATTTTATGTTAATACTTTGGTATTTTCAGTTTTGCAAAAAAAGTACAACAAAGTGTTCCAATCGGCTATAACATCTATAGTCAAACCAAAATTCATGTAGAGGAAGCCTTGCATTTCTTCCAGCCATTTAAATGAACATCAAATACGTCCTTTCTTCCCGTAAAAAGCTACAAACAGTAATGCCACAAAATTCGTAAGCGAGAAAGTTACCTTTGCAAAAGAATGCATTATTTCTGAGAGAACATCTGAATCTGGTTCTGTCCCAATAGCTTTGATGAGCGCATCACACATGAAGTGCCACATCTGTGTGAGGTACTCTGGCCCCCGAACTCTAGCACATTCAAGAAGGAGGGGCATCGACTCTGCTGCTGCCACTCGAACGCGTTTCATAATTAAGGAAATAAGACAATCAATACCAACATAAAGTGCTTAAAATTTAAGCACCCATCATCATAATGAAGTTACTAGTTTTCTACCAGAAACTGTTGGGTTGTTTTGGTTTTTTTTTTAATTACAGTCCAGCACATTTGATTTCTTAATTAGATACAGGATTAAGACTATAGGAAAATTAAACATTTTCTATGTAAAAGTTCCTTCAAGACTGTTTCAGGCTATGACAGAAAAGCTATTCAAGTTCTCCTTCACTTTGTTGGCACAAATAACACTTTCTCTACTGTTTTTAACATTATTAGACATGCTTATTTAAAAACAAACCAGGGGAAAAAGTAGGATACATTGCCTAAAATAGTGTGTAAAACAACGTTCTCAGAAACAATTTCTGCTATAAAGCAACAGAATATTTTAACACTAACACTTTCAATTAATTTAGGAAAACAGTAAGCACGATTTCGACTCTTCCATACTAAGTTTTCATTTTCACAGCAGAATTCGTTAACAGGATATCATCATGGAAATAGAACTTCAATAAGGGAACCATCAGCTTTACAACTTGCTCTGTGTACTCCACGAAGCCTTCTTTTAGTTCTTTTGCATAGCAAACCTGAAACACAAAGCATGGAAGTGTCACCTTTAAGGGAAAATACTGCTATTAATATTTTTCAACTATGTAATGGTGAGAAAGAATGGGAGAAGTTTAAGGTTTTTAAATTTATTTTTGAAAAAACATGCAATAATCAATCTACCTACCCCCTCCACAGTGGTATTTTAAGAAACCCCGACAGCACCATCAGTTCTCACTCAGCACATGCATGTATTTTTAAAACCAAGTTCAGAAACATTAATATTTGCAAAAAGGATCTACTCTTTAACACCTCCAATTCCTTCAAAGTTTTGCTAACAAAGGAAAAACCTATCTGTTCATCTTAAAAGCTGAAGCTCTAAACTAGAGAAACTATTTTTAATCAAGTAAACCACACACAAAGTGTCTGAAATCCAAATTTAACACACCTGAAGAAAACCAGAACTATTTCATTTGATACTACAAATAATATTTTCATTACAGATTTTGGCTTCAGACTTGATTGTCCAGCAATACACAGATCACCAAAACTGTCCGATGACTTACCAGCATCTGGCATGCAGTTGCTTTTTCTTCAAGGCCTGCAGTTTTAATTCCAAAACTTTGCTGGTCTCCTAGGTTTACAAACTCCCAACCATCATCATCACTCATATTTTCCATATCCTGTGCTGTTATAGAGACAAGGGGGAAAAGAAAAAAAAAATAATGTAAAAGTGCTACAAAATTATTTCCGTATTTTTTCCAAGCAAAACATTATCTTAAACCTACTGTCTAAAAGAGCTACTTCAGGTTTAATGGATGCAGTCTTCATTAAAGGTCCCATGACAACAGGAAGGTACTGCTGAAATTCCTTTCCAAGAATTTTACACATTCTGGCCCATGCTGAGATCATGTAAGAAATCTATTAAAGAGAGAAGAGTCAGAATTTACGTGTCCCACATTTTATTTTAATGCATACTTAAAAGGAAAGCGTAAAGGAAGAACATTATACAATATGACTTTTTTTTAAAGAATTTGTCAGCAGCACGATAAAACTTAATTCAAATAGAACTCATCCAATATGCAATTCATATAAAAATGCATCTTCAAAAGACCTGTCCCAAGTCTTTATTTGTAACAACACGTTGACAGGACCTCTGATCAAAGCTGCTATACATGTAAAAATGTGATGGTTTAAGATGTACTTGTAATGCAATCATGACTGTCTTGAAAAGTAAATTCCTTTCTGAAACGAATAATTTCCTGAATTTAGATGATACTACTGAGCCATGCTCCTGAAAATAGCAACTAGAGCAAAACCAGAGTGCAGTACTGTGTTTTCAGAGGAGTATTTGTTTTCAGATGCACGAGTCAAAATAGCTCTCCACTTATTAGAACAGCTGTCCAACAAGTCTTGTTGAACTATTTATAAGAAGGTGACAACAAGGGAATAGGTCATACAATGCCAAACAAAGTAGTTACTAATAGACAAAGAATGATTAACCACACGCAGAAATTTCTTCAGCAAATACAGGTCCTGGAAGTCTCATTTCCTAAACACAGTTCTGTGAAAGATTCTAAGGCCATTTTAAGGCAATCAATCTCAATTTTTGTAAGACAGTCAGTCTGAAGGTGTAATTGGGAGGGGGCTGGGAGAAATGCCACACATACAAAGAATATTTTTAATACTAACAAACAAGCTATGCACTATTAAGAGACAATTTTAACATACCTGTGGATCATCATCTTCTAGATCGCTGAAGTCTGTTTGTGTCTTCAGTAACAGCTGCATTACATCTGATGCATCCTGCATAAACTAGACATAGGAAACAACTACGGTTTTAAAGGCTGGTTAAAACGGTACATTTCTGAGACTTAATACCAAACAATCTAGGTGAGCATATACATCCAACACACTATCAAGACACAAGCTAAAGTTGGAAATAGACTCAAACATGGATAAAAGTGAAAACACAAGTTCTTTTTCTGGAAGTATCACCAAGTCGTTCTTGTCTTGAGCTTCACTGCACCTCTATCCATACACTTGAAAGCAGAGGACTATTTAAATAAAACACGTCATAAATACTAATACTCACAAAACATAATCGGACAATTCTAACTTCCCCAGACATCCTCCTGACTATTTCGGCTCCTTTACGGAACCAGGATAAAAGCCAACAGCACAATCTACTTATTCACGTGCTAGTAATATTTTAGGTCACATCGGATGCCCCAATGACGTTACACCTATCCTCTTTTCACTCCCCACATTCCCAGTGGTCCTCGAAGAATAATTTATTAAAACACTAGTTATGTTTAAAGTCTGTTTAAAATTTAGTTGCATGAATGGTAAGTTTACTGGTAGTTCTTCTAAGTCAAAGGAAAGGGCTGACAATTTGGGGGATATTAGTATTTTTCTACTGCGTAAATCACATTATTTTACTTTGAAGTGTGATCTTCTGTTTTCTTCACTCAATAAAATGAAAATCTGTAAACCATAATGCTAAGTTGCTATGAGAAAAATCACTTAAACTTATATACTCCTTCACAGTTGTTTCTCGGTACTTTTACAGAAACACATTTTAACCTTCTTACCATCAACAAAAAAACCACTGCTAAATACATCAAGCCTCATGACAAACAAGTACTTCAAGTTCCATTACGAACATATTTGAACTTTTTCAGGCATCCACATACAAAAAACCAATGCTAAGTTTCCTTTTAATTACACACATTTTACCTGCCATTCTGACACTGCCTAAATGAGATGCTCCAATATTTCTCTTAAGGCAAAAAAAACACAGAAAGAAAAAATGCTCATTTTCAACACTGTTCAGTATGACAAGAATACCTTAAGCTGTAATATTTTCCTAAGATTCTATTCTGAATTTGTGAATCTAAACAGCAAGACAGTTACCTCAGAAACGAAAACATGAAGACAAACACAGAAATCACCAACAACATAGTTCTATGTTTAACAAGTACCTATCTTAATTCAGCGTTAACACCGCAGAAAAAGATGCTTTAAAATATATTTAGACCATTAAATAAGATCTAAGCTTACCTTTTCTTTACCAACAGCAAGACCAATTAGGCTGATGCATTCAATAGTCTTTCCTCGCAAAAGTCTTAATTCCTTCTGAACAGCATTCTCAACAATGTGTTTTAAAGAGGGCATAAATAAGTCATAGTAGGGAACAAACTTCTCCTCTGCTGTATCTGCAACTGATGCAATTGAAGTCACAACTTGCTCCAAAACTAGCTTAGTGCCTTTCTGTATCAACTTGGAAAGAGGAAGAATAAAGCGTTATATTTCTAAAGCACATGTTTTACTTAAAAGCATGCCAAATCTCAAAAACCCTCTCTTTTGTGTATCCTAATTCTTGTCAGTTTATAACAACATTAGCAGATATGTCTACTGGCTTATTTCAGACATCTTAGTTCAACTAAATTTATTCTGCATATGTGACAGATTACCCTTCATGAATCAATTTATTCAGTATACTATACCTCTTGTAATTTTATCACCATGGTGGAGTGAAGGTGCTTCACTAGATTATCCAAATACGGGATAAGCAGTGACTTGGGACAATCTTCAGTGAAGTTTATGAGTGCTGCAGCTGCATGGGCTTGAACACGCTGGTTGCCTTGATCCTCCATGGTTTGCAGAAGAGCTGCTATCACCTGAAATAAAGTGTTTATTTTCAGAAAAACAAGTTCCTGAAAGGGGCATAGTTTCAGTTTGTTTGGTGGTTTTTTTTGACTATTCTACTACTTGCCTTCTCATGAAATTTCTTTTGAAAACCAGGTGCGAAGTCAGTTGCCATTTGTCCGATAGCATTACAAGCAGCATATCTTACTCTTGGATGCTGAAAAAGTATTTCCCTCAAATAGTTAACAAGTAGTCACGACAGCAGAAATGAAAACATTTTGAAATAATTATTTGAATTAGACTCACAGGATCCTGAAGGAATAGCAAAACGAAATTAACTATCTCATTTAAAATTCCCTCCATCTGTTGGTGGCAACCTTCTCCAATGGCTGAGAGCGCCATCAAGCCAGCATGCCTGTATTTCCAGTCAGCTACAGATGAGTAAAAAGAAAATAAATATATATTATTCATTTTGGAAACTATAAAGTACCACAAAGACAAGTCACCTTTTGGGGGGGAATGGGACAGGAGGAGGAAGAGTGAAGAACAGGAAAGCATCTACTTGATTTGTTAAATACTTTTCACTTTTCCTCACACATACTTCCAGAGAGGCATAAAAACTTGAGTATCTAATCCAGGCCAAATCCAGACCCAGAAAAAAAAATTCTAAACCAATGAATCAGAACTAAACTTTTCTGCAGTCTCCCTAAGACTGTTTAAGAACAGTAACATTCCTTTTAGGTATGTAAAGCTTTCCCCCCTTCCAAGTCCTATTAGCCTATTCTCAGGCTAGTGGGTATTGTTGACATGGATTTTTCACACCCCTCTCCTTTTTCTTTATGCCAGGGAAACACATGAGAAACTCAAATTTATCTTTTTATTTTTACAAGATCTTTCTCTGTGCTAGAAACCATGGGGATTACAGAAAAGAAAACCAATAGAACAAACAGGTTTATCAAACAATCTGTCAAAAAGGCACATAACAGAACTTCTTTCCCAAATAATGCAAGATTTCCTTATTGCTGGTCATGTATTAAATTCCTGGAATGGAGAATACCACAGTTCTGAGCACTGGAATCCCAACACTTAAGCTTCTGTTTGATCAGGATGAGATGAAATACCATCTTGAAAGAAGGTACAGTGAAGCAGCAGTTTATTTTGCAATACCTATTGCATTTCTCTTTTCCAAAAAGTACTAATGGTTACAGAAAGCTCTGACCCAGCAGAAAGCAAGCATCAGGCATCAACTGCATGACTTCTCCCCTTCACAAGAGTCAGATCTTACAGCCACTGAACTCCACACCTTTCTGTGGGAACTACAAAACCAGACATTTGCTAGCTTTGAAGGTATTCACATCAGAAGAGTTGGGTTAATCTGTTTCCAAAAACTGTCTTTACCAAAAAACATGAAACCGACTTTATACGTGTTCACACTCTGCAGGTGTTACCTTGAATACCTTATATTCCATATATACATTCTAGTCCAGTATGGTGACAATCTTTTTTGGCCTGGGTTTTAAATCATTAAGGTAGGAAAAGTACCCAGAACTTCTGCATTATCTTCTACTTCAAAGTGTCAAAGCACAGGTCAATTGAAAGTGTATGCAGCAAGCACACAAGATTTTTTGAACGATTGCCTGAGCAAGCATTACAGGTATTAGAAGAGGAATAGAAGCATACAAAGCAACTGGTAAGAATATATGGGACCACCTCATGAAAAATATTTAAATCAGCATACCAAAACACAGCCAGCCTACCAAAGACTTCTGCTGTATTTTGGTCCATCAAATTCCAGGAAAAAAAAAACAAAACAATTTCCTCTATGGACTGTAATGTATTAAAATTTCACTTAAATGCAGCACTTCTGAAGAAACAAAAAAAAAAAAATTGTTACAGAATAAAAGGTGGCGGTTTAGGCACACATTGAAGTACTGTGGGGCACTGTGTATTGATTTAGAGAGAATATTACAAAGTAAGAAAAAAGTCTTTCCTTATTTATATTTAATGTACAGACTGAGTTTTAAAAAAATATATACTGTTTTGTTTTTGACATCTCCATTCAGTTGCCCATGCCCATGGCCCAGCAAAGGGTTGTAATGCGCTGTACATAAGTTTAATAAATCCCAGTCTAAGGAAAGGTATAAATTCCAAGTGCAGGGCGTTTTTGCTACTGAAATCAAATGTGGAACTGTATAAAATACATTAAGTAGCTAAACAGGAAGATTTAAGAGGCAGCCAAGTTCTCGTAAAGGATAGAATTTAAAAAAAAAATAAAATAAAATTGCAGTTACTTACGATTCTGAAGCATTTGCATAATATGTTCTTTAATCATAGGTAAAACAAGTTTTCCTCCAAGGCCACATGCCATCCTGTCCAGTGCGCTCTCACCAGCAACTGCATTGCTAAACATCAGTTACAGAAATATCAACGGTTTGATATCTACAATAAAACAAACAGTCCAACAGGGCACAGAAGTGCCCTTTCCTGCAGTTCCAGTCTTCAAACTTTTGCCATCTGAATACACATGAGCCTCTGTAAGTAAATAAAGCATACCCAAACCCAAAAGCACACACACCACAGATGCTTTGGTCACAAAAGAATTCTTTACCCTCCACTTCAATGTTTTCTGTAGCCCACTGAGTAAGTCTCGTACCAGAGAAACTTGGGCCTTACTTGCACTAAAGGTATAGACTGAATTTTGCAACAATTACACATACCTAGAAAGCTGTAAACTAAATGAATTAAGCAATACCACCAGCCAGCATCTTCTTGCCATGAGAACGCAAACCAGTTCAGACTTGCTATAAATCAAGTGAACCAGCAGAATTCGAGCTTTAGCACATAGGAGACCTTTCCTGCATGGCTGCAATACCAGTACTCCAGTAGCGGGTTCTCTTGACAACCACTTAGGCAGAAAACATCCAGTCCAGGTGAGGAATTTGTGACTCTCAGCCAGTTCCAGAAGTGAGACTAGCTAAACATTATCTGTGTAAGGTGACTTATTCCACCCAATAGTTATTCCCTACAGAAAAGCAAAAAAGTTTCCAGGACACAGCTAGCTACTGTTACAGTCGGGTATGGCTAGAACCTTGAGTTATTGTTACAGTCCATCCTAGACACCTATGCTGATGGAAAAACTGAGTAATGGTTCAGAAAGGGATGAATCCCACTCTTCTTTCAAGTATCAGTCAGCTGGGTCAGAAAGAGAGGTCTTCAAACTATTACTCTTGAATCACCAGGCCTCATTACAAACCATGAACAGTCTAGAAACTCACATGCTGCGAACAAAAGTGTCTGCACAAAGATATTGACAGTGTTGTATTTGCTCTTCAGATTAGTCAAGTTCAAGCAAACAGAAGCGTCACCAGCAGGACAACAGAGCATGGAGACACAGGTTTAGATTGGAGCAAACTCACTGAAGTTAATGGCAACTCTCATCTGAACTGGCATTCCTTGAACTCTTTCCTTCCACCTTTAATTCATACATTCAATTTGAGGAAATAAAGATAGCGTATCTTAGAAAAATGACCACACACCTCCCTGCAGTGTTTGCAAGGCTTTTGCCAGGGAAAAAGGAAGTTGGATTAACCTTTTCCTCCTTTAGAATTCCACGGCTCTATGAAGTCAGAGCAACAAAAAAAACCTGGAAATGCTAAAATATTCCCTGATGCTTTTGTGTAGGCTGACTCACATCCCCCTTAGTCAGATCTGAACACACCCTAACTAGGCTACAGGCTGATGATCATTGGCCTGTTTCTTGGACTGCAGACTGCACAGAAATTCCAGTCATCTTACATAGCTATAAAGACTCAAGCACCAGAAGACGTTAGCACACCCATCAGCTAATCAACAACTCTCCACAAAGGTGAACTTGATGCTGGGAGAAACAGTAACATGAGTGAACATGTGAAAAGAAAAAACTAACACCACACATACAATCACCAGAGGCTAGCTAATGTCCAGTATTTTGTGTCTAAGACTCAAGTTCTCCTATTACTTGGAGGGCCAAATAAGCTACATTTCTCATTTAGGCTAAGGTAGCCGAGCATAACTTGTTTTCCAATCTTTGCTTGCTCTACTTGCAAATAGTAACAAAAAAAAAAAAAAACCAACAAAAAAAACCAACAAAAAAAAAGAAAATCTTCACTCTAAAGTCCATAGGCAGCTAACTTGTGTTTAGAAGAACAAAGCCGCTCTGCTGACAATAAAGAGAAATTGGCATGCCTCAAGGGGATGATTCAGAGTACTTACTAAGCTGCCTAAAGCAGGCTATCTGAATAAACTTCCACACCCTGAAAGGCTTGATGAGGATTTGAACTTTTAATATTCCGTTTCCCCTTGAAATTTAGCTGAATGAAAAGATTAAAATACTTGACAAGCCTGAATGCAGTGCTATCTGACAGTTCTACCTGTACAGCAAAATTTCTAAGTTGAAGAAATGAAACAGGTTAAAAGGGTCTGGCCTACCATGTGAGAGGGAGAAGAAAGAAGAGCTTACTTTCAATTCCATAATGAAGGGGAACAAAAAAGTATTCCAAGTCAAGCAGAGATTAAACAGGTTCTTCCATAAATTCCTACGCATCTGTTTTGCAAGTGTCTTTACATGCCTCATATCTAATAGAAGTCACTGTACAGTTCAGTGGTAAATCGACAAGTCCTCTACTGCTTATCTTCCTATGAAGATCTCTAAGCATTCTGTGACAAATTATTTCGAGACACTGGTTACACCTGAGTCTTGAAAGAAATGCCAGATGTGACAAAAAAGTGTCTAGACTTATAAATTAATATCTGTGTCTTTACAGAAGCATGGAGATAGTTATCTCCTATGCATACTTCTGCTTTCTTCTACTTCATTCTAACTGTATTTGGACAAGAGCACATGAAACATGATGCTGTAGACAAACCAGTGTCATTCTAGTGAAAAGTCAGAGCAAGCTACAAAGCACGCAGGAATAAGCCAATTGGACAGACTAGACATCTTTAGTAGATCTTTCTCATCTAAGACACAACAAGATAAACTACTGCTAGCCATACCCAAGGATTTAAAATAATAGCAAAATCATAGGATTTTTGAGCTAGATGAAATCCAGCAAGGAATTCTACTATGCATTCTGATGTCCCTTCAAAAGGTAGGCAGCTTTTTTCTTTAACACCACCTTTTCAAGGACCTAGATACAGAAAAATATGAAGAGATTGGTTGTAGATTATTAAACAGGTAGGTCAGTATCCTTCAGCTTTGGATCCAGCTAACTTCAGGATAAGCCCTCAATTTAAAGGGCTAGGAAGCACTGACTTCTGAACTGAATAACATAAATGGCAGAAGAAACAAAAGTTCGAAAAGTTGAAACAGTGCAAAACAGCAGACAAGATGACATGCAACTTGCAGAAGTGAATTACAGCAATACACAAATACTGAAACAATGAACTTGCTTAACAGTACCTAAATAACCTATATAACAAACTGACAGCAGTCATATATATGGCTCATGACCGAGGGAACAACATTAGAAGAGTTACTTGAGTAAAGAAAAATTAATGCACTGCAGTCATTTGCACCCTGCACTTAAAATCTGCCTTTAGCCACACAGTCTTGATAACAGATTGAAACAAGTAGTTTCATAATTACCTGTCAAAATCATCATCTTCAAGCTCATCTGCATTTGCCCAGTCTTCATCTTCTTCCAAGTCAACCATCATTGCTAACATTTGAGGAACTGAAAAATTAAGTTGTAAACTCAGGTTGCTTTCTTAAAATAGATTCACAAATAACAAGCATAAATTTTAAGTTCTCTCCTTTCAAAAAAATCATTGAATAAAAATAACCCTTCTTCCAGTAGCAGATAGCCAAGTCTGTCAAACTGCATCAGCCAATAATTCAGAATAGATTTTCAGGAAAGTATTTTCAGAACATTCAAATCAAGAGTAAAAAAAAATTGAGTGTATTTCTTACCAAGAGTCAGAGTGCAAGATAAGATTTTTTTTTTAAATCATGAAGACTGTAAAAATTCCCTAATAAAAATCTAAGTTAATTGAAAGAGTTAAAAATCTTATTGTATTCTGTAAGAACTCAAACATACTTCATTCATTTTGCTGAAACTCCAACATCATACTTTTGACCATTCACTTATGAAAGAGATAATACTCAACCCTTAGTTTTACTAACATGATAAATTTTGTTAACTATATGTGCAGTGGTCACTTGGCAAAAAGCTTTACTTTTACAGTAAGGTAATGGTTTAGAACTTGAGATTTTTCCCCACTTAATGCAATTTTTTTTTTTTGTATCATGAAAATATCTTGCACATAATAATGCACCAGTTTTCTTCTACCTCTGTGGATTGATTCTGTCTGCTGTTCTCAGTTTAAGTCTTTATAGAGGCTATTACACAGTCTTTATCATCATGTTCAACTACTATGCAATAAGCAACACCTATTCTTCTGAGTTGTTCTCACAGGAGGAGGGGGGTGGAGTGATTTGTCTATTGTAAGCCTGCCTGCCCCTGTGCATTTCAGAAGCCCAAGGGGCAAAAACTATACCTTGCACTTCCAGAGCAAAGTAAGGTGCTCTTAAGTATTCTTTACTTC